TACATCGGTTCTTTAACAACCGATGTAAAAAGTCCGATGTTAAAAGTATTTTTTGTACTAGTGTTTTCTTTGTAAGGAGTGACATTTTTGTGGACGTAAATTTCGTTATTATAATTTGAGTTGATTACTTAATCCAACCATCAATTCATATAATACTACTAGAAAATTGGAGAAAAAAAACACTAAAAATTTACTAATGATCTGAACACATTTCACACCACACTATATCAAAACTTTAAATATATTATATTTTTTTAACTTATTTATTTCTTCACTTATCTATTTCTTCACTTATCTATTTCATACAATATACCTTATTTAATGAATAGATTTTTTTAGATATGGTGTATACCATTTTAATCTCCTATCACTAAGCCAACGTAGAGGATTGAACTTTTTACAAAATGTTAGCTTTATAATAATTAGCTTAGGCTAGTTTGATAAAGTATTGATTCCAATTAAATTATTCAAATTGAAGAAGAAAAACGCTATTATTTTTCTTTCATTCTCTTAAAATTTTCGGATCAACTTAACAAGTATAACTAACAAATTATTAGTATAATAAACTCTCTTAATCACATCTTTTAATACGTTACTTTAAAAAAAAAAGAATGATTTACTCCTTATTTATTTCGTATTGTTTATAAAAAAAGAGTAGATAAAAATTTATGAGAAGTGTTAATTTGAATATATATATATATATATATATATATATATATATATATATATATATATATATATATATATATATATATCATGACATTTAAAGTTTGATTACACAAATCAATATAAGAATTAATTTTCATTATTTTTAATAAATTTATTAATATTTATCATTAATACTCTTGTCATCCTATTATTATTTTTTAACCAAAATATTTTTAAATAATTTATTATATATTTTTTGGTAATAAATATAATTAAAAAATTGAGATATAATTAATAAAAAATTAATAAAATTTAATTTTTTTAAACATGATATATTTTAAAATAGAGGAAATATGTTTTAGAAGAGACTATTAATATTGAAGTAAAACAGGCTAAACTCAGTAGTTGAATGTTGGCTAATGCTGTCATGAATATTCTCCGTCAGTTAAGACAAACATTTCAAGTACACTGATTTGGGAAAAAGCAGACACGTTTAAATCAATGCATGTCAAACACATGCTGATAACTTTCATAATAAATCGGTATTTAAAATAATAAAAAAAATCATGTTACCATCAATTTAAACATGTCCCATTTTAAGACGATAAAATTTACAAAATTTAAGACTGTATTAATTATATGTTTACTTCTTTTTATTATATTTAGTGTTCCAAGAAAATATAATAAATTATTTAAAATTATTTTAAATAAAAACATATTAAAATAACAAAAATATTAATAAAAAATCAATAAATTTATTAAAAATAAAAATAAAAAAATATTTATCGTTCAACCTTAATCATCATAGAACAGAGAATATCTTTTATATTTAAAAGTAAAAATATTTATAATAAATTGGTTAATAATAAATATTTCTAAATTTATTTATTTATTTATTAAATAAACTAACAACAGGAATAAAATAACTAAATACATTTCATTTCCATTTCAATTAAAAGACTGAAAAGTATTATTCCAAACGATGAAAATAAGGATAATAATCGAATCTCCGACTTCACGAATAGTGAAACAAAAAAAACTGCAACGCAATTAGTACGAGTTTTAAAAATTAAACTTGTTTGAGTTTAAATTTGAATAATTATTTAGAAAAAAAATATATATATATATATATATATATACCTATATCTATATATCTATCTATATATCTATCTATCTATCTATCTATCTATTTATATATATATATATATATATATATATATATATATATATATATATATATATATATATATATATATATATATATATATATATATATATATATATATATAAGTACTATCACATTCATACATGCTATACGTATGCGTATTACATAAAAAAATGTTTATTTATATCATTTAATTTTCGAATTAATTAATAATTTTAGTGAAAAAACTATATATGTTGAATTTATGATATAAATTATACATTATAATATATTTTTTAAAATTATTAAAATTTAAATTTAATGTAATAAAGATATAAGATGAATTAAAAGAGATAAGATATTAAAAGAAAAAGTTGAAAACGTTTTCATTACAAAAATGAGTTAGAAATACTCGTATGGGATAAGACCAATTCAAATTGTTTTAATTCAAAATAATTGTTTTAATTTATATACATAATAATCTTTTATAGTTAAATTTTATATGGTGTTTATTTTATTAAATGAAATTTAAAATCCATGTATTTTATTTAAGATTTCAATTTGTTGTTTTCTCACTATCAAAATTATTTTTAAAATAATATTATTGTTTTTTTTTCTATTTTATATAAAATCTATATTTAACTAAAATACTTGATTAATTCTTTCAATTATTGACACTTTACTATTTTGTTTTCCTTTTCTATCATTGATAGTGATAACCCACAGTGACTTTAACATCTTAAATAATTGGTATACCAGTCAAAAGGATTATTTTGAGATTTTGAACAAAATTTGATATATTTTTGAATTTAGAGTATAACCCTATTTTATTATATTATTATTTTAAGGAAATAATATTTATTATTTAACTTGATAAATTAGTTTAAATATATAATATGCCCTATTATAATACGTAATTTTATAATTTTTATTCAAAATTTTGTTTCTCAAAATTTATTATTTAATATTTTTTAAACCGTTATAGTCATTTGTTCTATCTTTCTTTATCTTAATCCCTCGCTATTTGGATCAAAATATTAATCAAATCAAATGACTTAATTAATCATTTCAATCGTCAGTTTCAAAAAATCGTAATCTTTTAGAAGAATTGATCGAATTGCTCCCATAATAATAAATTTAATAAAAATTAATATGTATATTAATTTATATAATTATATCTTAAATTGAGGAAATGTAACTCAAATATTATTATAATTTATTTTAAACAAACAGATCAATTGTTTGTTTAAAATTCTAACTTTCTCATAAAGTTAATGGTTAAAACTTTATAATTTCCAATGAACCTTTCAAATCATTTCACATCTCAAAATCTTCTACAAATTCCTTAATTACTCGAATAAATTTAAGAATTAAAATTTTTTTTTATGTAAAATAAAATTGATGAAAATATTTAACTGTAACAATTAAATAATTGTTTGAAATAAAAGTTGTTGAAATATACCACTCTATTGTAATTATAATTAAGGCAAAATTAAGCAGTGAAGTTATTGCAAAAGTAAAATTTTAAAAATCAAATTTTAACTTAAAGTGTTCTTATGTTTGCGTGTGTGATTATCTTAATTGCCCCATTGCTGACGATCATAACAGCACACAAAGTGTCGCGTCCTAATCATGCACATAGCTAAATTGCAAATTGCAATTCAACAATGTTTGAAATGATCACGTAAATGTTGTATTGGATAGGACCATGACTTTTTTCATGTCAATATAAGCATCATTAAATTATACATTATTCCATATTGGATGTGATAATAGACTGTGTACTTTTTGTATTATGATCCTTGGATAAAGTATTATATTAGTTAATGTTTATACACAACCTTCATAACTTTTAAATGAATACTAATTTATTTTTATATTAAATATCAACAACAGGTACTCTTTAAAATTTGTATTTAATTAATGTGAAAAAAAAACTTTTAAAACACTAATTATTCTCTTACTTTGTTACATTATTACGTGCATAACAATTTTATAGAAAATTAACTTATCTTAAGTTCATTTATAGAAAAAATCGATGATAAAATAGATGGTGAGAAGTGATTAATATATAAAAATGAATGATTTAATATTTTTTAATATAATATTATTTTATTAATTTAAATGTAAATAGTTTAAAAAAATTATAATGATATATCAAATATATATTATTAAATAAATAATTATTAATTTAAAAATCTATTTCATTAATAAGAACTAATTAATAATTTTATAAATAATTTGATAATTAAATAAATATTTTATTTTTATTAATTTATTTATTATTTTTTTAAATGAACTATTTCCTTCCTTTTTCATATCACTTTCTTAATAAATTAACAACCATAATTTTTATCTATTTCATTTCTTTTCTTTTCTTTCTTTATATTTTTTTCCTTATATTTCAAAATAGACCCTTAGATTTATATACCTGTGTATTTTAATTAAAATATTTAATTTTTATTTTAATTTCTCTATAAGAGTTAATAAATTGGACATATGCATACAAATCTTTTATGGCTTTTTTTAATCAGGGTTGTGAAATGCAAAAATACACTAAATGACATATGCATACAAGACTTTAAATTGGATATTTAGGCAATGATAATCAATTTATATTATTTTAATTGTCAAAAATATTATATTATTAGTTTGTGTACTAATTTTGTCATATAATTTAATTTTATATACATTTTAGTGTCATAAATAAAAATAAGACTATGCGTAAGTGTGATTATTATATAATGTATTAGAATTGATGGTGCAACCATATTTTATAATGTTTTAAGGTTAGATTAATTTTATTTTCTAATTTTTTATTACGTTAATCAGAGACAGAGTCAATATTTTATCTCAAGGAATCAAAATAAAATATGTTTGATTTTTTAATTAATAAAATAAAAAAAATATATATTAATATTAATTAATAAGATTAAAATAAAAGATTGATCGTCTTTATGAGGCTCAATCAATTTTTTATTTGATTTTATTTGGTAGACATGTCAGGTACGAATTTATCTGCTCCACTTTTTCTTTTGTTCCCCTTCAAAGGAGACAAAAAACAGTGGTTTCTTTCTATATATCATAGATTGCTTTCAATCTCCTTTTGTTTGTTCGGCTCACAATTTTCCTTTTCCTGTTTACCTCTTCCCGTAAGGATAGGCCATATATATTTTTTCTTACATTAATCTATCATTATTTCACCATAATGTCAGTCTTTGAAACTGTTACTGGCCCTAACGCCACTTTCCAATCAATAATTTTGGTACTAAAGTTCCCTTTCCTATATGGCCATACATGCCACATGATAAACGTGAATCTATTCTTAATACTACAATCCCTTTTCTTTGGCTATATAAAGTCCTGCATACCAAACTTGACATACCTACATAATACAAAGCAACAAGTTTTACTCAAATTGCTCCATTCTGTCACCCCAACCCAGAAAGAGCACAACCACTTTCAGGAGAAACTGAACATGTTTAGTGTTAAGGAATTAGTTGAATCCAATTGTACGAGCTCTGTCCCCTCCAACTACGTTTGCCTTAAAACCCCCGAAGATTCCATTTTGTATGATGAGACAGACAACATTCCAACCATCGATTTTTCCCAACTCACCTCTTCCAATCCCGATGAACGCTCCAACGCAATCCACCAACTAGGTGATGCATGCCGTGATTGGGGTTTCTTTATGGTATTCATATACTTAACCTCAAACCTTATATATATATATGCATGTTTCAACTTGTCCACTTATGCATGCATGCATTTAACATAACTTTGAACTGCTTTATGTATAGCTAATCAATCACGGTGTGTCGGAGACACTGAGGGAGAAGGTGCTTAGGGAAGGCGAAAGCTTTTTCGATCTGAGTCAGGAAGAAAAAATGGAGTACGCGGGAGAGAAGATACTTGATCCTATAAGATATGGAACAAGCTTCAATCTCATGGTTGACAAGACCTTTTTCTGGAGAGATTATCTCAAATGTCTTGTTCACCCTCACTTCAATGCTCCTTCTAAGCCTCCCGCTCTCAGGTACACCCTTCTCCGCACTTTTTTTTTTGGTTTCTTGCCTGAAGTCTCTTTGATAGAAAACTACAACAACTTCTAAGAATTTTTCTACTGATAGAAATTCTTGTAGTTGTATTTAAACATTCCCTTCTTCCAACATAACTATATATTACCTATCCCATTTTGGGTGGATGAAAGTAGAAGACAGAGAAGAAAAATGAGAAAAGAAAAATATAATACAGTTTAAAGAGAAAAATTCATTATAAGCCAAATTTATTAATTTTTAAGTTGAATTACTATGTGATCGCTGTTATGCTGGCAATATTTACTGTTTTTGTCTTTATACCTACTTAAAAACCATTTATTTGACTGTGAATGTCACTAAATATTTGAACCTTGACTACGACATATTATCATGCTTTTAGCCACAAAATTTAATAATTTTGTCTTATTAAAGAAAAGTTTAAGTTGAAAAATACGGTAAATATATATATAAATAAAAGAGATAAATCACAGCTTATGAGCTGGTTTAAAAAAAAAAATCTTTCTCTAAGGTTTGTAACACTTTTTGTGTTGTCACGATGTAATGCTGACAGGTTTATTTTCTTGACCAATGATATACAGAGAAATTTTCTATCAAACATTTATCCAACAATTATCATTAAATTTTTGTCGTCGGCGCAAAGAACCATGACCACTCCAACGACTACCATTAAGCTTATCCTTTCCCTATCAAAACATAGCGCTTGTTGCACTTGTCTCCGCCATATATATATTCCCATAGGAAAGTTTTGAAGTAGTTGACACAGTTTTGCTTTTTTATACTTATATTTTACACATCACGCTAGATTATCGTAATTGCAAAGTTTAGATGATGAAAATCTGCTTTTGACGACAAATCATGAAAATGAAGCAACACCAGCATCATATCAAGGACCCCCACCTCTTCTTTCCACCGGTGAACCCACTTCAGTGGTAACGCCAACACTCCAAAACAATACATTTTAAAAGTTTTGTGGCATGTTGCATAATTTAATTTAATAAAAGAAAAATAAAGAAGTACATATTGGAATTTGGACTTTTTAAACTAATGAAAATTCTCTCCTTAGTTATTTCTTATAGAAAGTAAGAGTACAGGGTATATGTTCAACTTGCATCACTTAGTACAGCACTATTGAGGGTGGAGAAGAAGTTCTTAGCCCTTATGGGAGACAAAGAAGTGTGCGATGGACCAACCCATAGGAAGTACCCCATTTATTTTCTATTTTTGGAGTTTATGCAAAAATTATTCTAATTTTTTCTTGAGATCAAGTTTCAAAGATTCAGATCCTCTGCAGCAGTTATTTAGAAATCTTCAGAGGGTGCAGTAGTTAATTTTAACGTTGAAGCACAATATATTTTTCTTAATTATTAATCTTTTTCTATAACGTACATTTATTTTATATTTTAATGAATCAGAATATAAGCTTTTACATGGAAAATCAATTAAAAATACTGATTAATGTCTTTTTAAGATAAATAGTGCAAAGATTGTTATAATATCTATTTGAAATTGAAATTAAGTAGAATAGTTTTACATTATTCATATGTATATTGCTTATTCACTATTATATGGTCAACATTACCGTTTCCTAAGGATCTGTTTTCTCTTTTCTAGGTTTTGATAGCATTTTTAAATTCAGATTAACAGTTCACGCACAGATAAATTCCTGTTCACCCTTTTGACTAGAAACTTTAGGAACTCGAAATATGATAAACTGGTATGAAAACAATACAGGAGTAGAAAAGAGTAGATGTACAGTTTATTCATTGTTTTTGGCGTTGAATGGTTGCAGGGAAACTTTAGAGGAATACAGCAGAAAGGGTAAGGGAGTGGTTGAAGAGTTGCTGAAAGGAATATCTCTAAGCTTAGGGCTTGAAGAAAACTACATACACAAAAGGATGGATGTAGAGATGGGGTGTCAGGTGCTTGTTATCAACTATTACCCACCATGCCCTAAGCCTGAGCTTGTCATGGGGCTTCCTGCACACACGGACCATGGGATTCTCACCCTCCTTATGCATAACGAGCTTGGAGGGCTTCAAATTCAACACAAGGGTAACTGGATTCCTGTCAACCCCTTACCCAATTCCTTTCTCTTCAATACTGGGGATCACATGGAGGTATAGCAAAATTCATTCTTTATTCTTGCATGCAATTTACTACTCTTGAGTGGAAAAATAATAAATGTGCCATTTTTGTGTTCAGATACTAACGAATGGGAGATACAAGAGCGTTGTTCATCGGGCTGTGGTGAACACAAAAGCCACCAGAATTTCTGTTGGCACTGCACATGGACCCAATCTTGACACCATAGTGGGTCCTGCACCAGAGCTGGTGGGAGATGATAATCCCGCAGCATATCGTGCCATCAAATATAGAGACTACATACTGCTTCAGCAAAACAATGAACTCGATAGAAAGACATGCTTGGATCGTATTCGGATTTGAGTTATATCAATAAACTCCTACCATCAACTATGTAGCATCCTTGATGCAATTCTTGAATCTGAATCATGCTTCTGTTTCATTGTTTAGTTTTTTTTAATTGATGTACTTGAATGTGTCGCGCGAACAAACTCTGAATCATGTTCCCTTCTCTACTACTTCTCTTCTACTTCTTCTTTATAATGTTATTTTGCGTTGTCTGTTAGATGATATTTGGGTTGTGAAACAATCACCACCCGGTTATAAACTTTCTCAAAACGCAGTACTTAATCAAATTAGTTGACCAGAAATCAAACGGATTATACTCTACTACAATTCTATTATTTCTTCATTAATATTGTAGATGGTGCAATTTAACAAGTATAAAAAAAGTACAAGATATGTTAATATTACAACTTATAATATTTGCACGTTATGCTTGTAATAAGGTTTCACATTTTAATTAAGAAGTGTATTTTCTTTGGAAACGGCTACAAAGTTCATTCTTATATTATGCAAGCACTTTCCATACTTCGAAAAATTGGACAAAATATATCATATTTTACCATTATTTAACACATATATGAGTTTTAAATCACCAAAATTTATTTAGATAATATTTTTATAATTATTTTATTGAAAGGTTCAAAATTTTAAATTATTTATTAATTAATTTTCAATAATTTTATACTCAATACTTTAATTACTTATTTTATTTAACATCTGTTTAGAAAATGTTAAAATAATTATATCATTATTAAAAAAATTGATAGTCTAAATATATTATATAATAATTATAATAACATATAAAGCTCGTGTATTTATTTGAAAGTTGTTTGAATATATGTATAATGTACTTTTTCATAATATATAGTTTGGTTTTTCTTAAAATATTAAAATTGACAATTCAATTTAACTAAATGAATTTAAATAAAAAAAGATGTAATAGAGTTGTCAATTAATTTTTTGTTAATAGATTTTACCATACATTTAAAAAATATAATATTAAATTAGTTTACTAAATGTATAAATTATATATAACTCAATACATTATAAATCTAAAAATTTATATTTTTTTATATAAAATAAAAATTATATCATATATTTAACATATTGTGCTTCCTTTAATTAATTAATTAATTAATATAATTTTATTTAAAATAGAAAAATATTAAATATTTACAATTATATTCGTTACTGTTAAATATGATACGTAACTCGAGACATATGTCCTCTCTTTATTTGATGTAAACAAACATGACATTTTTTAATATCTTGATATTTTCTTCAAATATTACTAATTTTTTCTAAACTATAGAGGACTTCTGTCTTTGATTCCTACCATTTCCCAAGTTACGGTCCGTTTCATACAAAAACTTTTTTACCTATCAAAATCAAAATTTCCTTTATATATTTTTTAAATTAGAAAACAAGAAAGTATAATTAATAAACCTATTCAAAAAATAAATTCTGTTCATGTATAAAATAATTTATAAAATCCTTTTTTACATTGGTATTTTTATCTACTCCACCTATGATCCTATAATTGGGTTTCTTTATCTATATAAGGCCCCTAACATCACACAGTAACTGATACGTAAGCCTGAAGTTGCAATGGGCCCTCCTGCACAGACAGCCCATGGGCTTCTGATTCTTCTACTGCGTGGATCGTATTTAAATTTGAATAAAAAAATCGATGACTAGCATGCATGCCTTTCTTCTATCCCAATTATATGTGCTTGTGTTTCAACATTTAGTTCAATTTTAGAATTGATGCACTTGGAGAAAATCAAAGCCCAATTGGTCAAACAATATAACTGCATCAAGTATGACATTTCACTTCCAGAAGTTTTTTTATTATGTGTTCGAATAAATAGTTTAGTTAGTTATTTAATATGACATTTGTCATATCAAAAATTGAATATAAAATTAAATTATGGAAGTCACAGTAAAAAAATAAGAAAAGTAAAGAAAAAAAAGTTAAATAATTGATTAAGATGTTTGGTAAAAGTAAATGGAAAAATTAAAACAAAGGAATGAAAAGATAGATAATAAATATATTTTTCTATGTTTATTGGGTGAAAGTAAGTCTCTCTTTTCCTTTTTCATCACAATTTAGTTAAGAGTAATTTTACAAAAAAAATTTATCTAAACCGATTAACCTTTTTCTTATAATAATAAATATGAAATTAAAAAAATACTATTATCATTATTATTTATATTATATATAAAGAGATTTTTTAACTTTTTTTTTAAAGATACAGAAAAAATATTATATATATATATGAATCACTCCACACTTCTTTAAAACACACCTCACTCATTTTCTTTTCTCCCTCTTTTATTTTATTCTTATCCTAAGTTTATATACTCTTTTAAGAGTTTCTTGCTAGTTTTTTAATTCCTCGAAAAATCTAAAAAATTACTGATGTTGTATCCTATGGGACTTGCGCGATATACTGCAAATAAGTCCTTAAGAACAATGATTATACATGTTTCAAGAATCAAGTTTTGTTCGTGTTCTATCAACATTTTTCAACAATCTTAAGGACTTATGCCTGATAGTATGAATATCAACAACAACTTTACACCAGAAAAGACAAACAACTTCTCCAGAACTCAAAATGTCTTAGCGAAACCGTTCCCGAACATTTTGAAAATTGAAGTTTTCTCCGGACAAAACTTTTGACATTGGCAGAAACACATTTTTACTCCGTTAGACATGTATGGAGTAGTTTTCGCTCTTACAACTATCAAAACTTACTCCAATACTCCTACTAAACAGATCAAAAACTGGATTTATTCAAATAAGGTATGTCGACATACTTTGTTAAGTGAATTATCTAATGATTTGTTCGTTGTGTATTATTCCTATAAGGAAGCTAAAGACATATGGGATTTGTTGATTCTCAAATACATTGTCGAAGATGTTGTAAGACAAAAGTTCATTATCGAAAATTATTACCATTGGGAGATGCTAGAAGACAAGGACATCAAGATCCAAATCAATGAGTGTCATAAGCTACTCGAAGATATTAAAGTAGAAAACATAATCCTACCTATGAGTTCATTTTAGAACTTCTAATAAAAAAACTTCTAAAATTCTGGGCAGACTACAAGCAATAGCTAAAGCACAAACATAAATAGATGTCACTGTCAGATCTTATTACTCACATCATTATGGAAGATACCAACCGGAAGAGGTGTGTTGTTACAAGGGCTAAGGTGATATCAGGTAACAAACCAGATCTAAAAATATATGAGAAAAAAACCTGATGATAAGAGAAGTAATTTTAAAAATTATTGTCCCAATGGATCTAACCCCACGTTTAAGAATAAAGGAAATTGTTTTGTCTGTGAAAAATCAGGTCATCATGCACCTCAGTGTGCAAATGATATAGAATAAGAAACGATAATCCTCCTAAGACAAATTTAACCGCAGTAGATGATACAATTGTTGCGATCGTATCTCAAACAAATCTTGTGATAAATGTGAACAAATAGGTGGTAGATTCTGGTGCTACTAGACACATTTGTGCAAACAAAAATGTTTTTACCTTTTACACTAGTGTAGGGATGGAGAAGAACATGTTTATGTTTGTGATTTTATGATAATTCCTGTCTTAGAGAAATGAAAAGTTCTTCTAAAGCTCACTCTGGGAAGACTCTGACGATGTACTACATGTGTCATTAATCAAAGTTAATCTAATATCTGTAGTACTACTAAGAAAAGTTGGGGATAAAGTGTCATTCGAATCTAATAAAATTATTATGACAAAAAATAATGTGTTTGTGGGGAAGAGATATTGTAATCAAAGTCTTTTTGTACTTAACATTTATGAAGTTGTTAATAAATATAGTTCTTATGCTTATATTGTTGATTCATATGATATGTGACATATTAGATTAGGACACGTAAATTCTTCGCATATTATAAAATTGCAACGATTATGATTAATTAATATGCATGATAAACAATGTAGGAAATGTGATATATATGTAGAATCTAAAATAACAAAAAATACATGTCACTTAGTAGAACAATAAACTGAACTTTTAGAATTGATTTATATTGATCTAGTTGATCTAAAACAAACCATGTCTAGAGGTGGTAAAAATTATTTTGTAACATTTATGGATGACTACTCTAGATACAGCAAAGTATATTTAATCAAACATATGAATGAAGCACTTGACATATTTTTAACCTATAAAACAGAAGTAAAAAATCAATTAAATAAGAAAATTAAGAGGATTAGATCATATAGAGGTGGTGAATATGTATTATTTAATAATTATTGTGTTAAATAAGGTATTGTTCATAAACTGAACCCACCATATTCACCTCAGTCTAATGGAGTAGCTGAGAGAAAAAAATGGAATTCTTAAAGAAATAATGAATGTCATGTTTATTAGTTCTAGTGCATCTGATAACCTTTAGGGAGAAGCCCTAATTATAGCATATTTTTACAAAATAGGATATCACATAAGAAAATTGGTAAAACTTCTTATGAGTTATGGAGAGGTTATCAACCTAATCTTAAATAACTAAGAATGTGGGGTGCCTAACTATCGATCCTAAGAAAAGAAAAATAAGCTCTAAAACTTCTAACTGTATGTTCTTAGGCTATGCGGAACATAGTGCTGCCTATAGATTTTTTATCCTTAAAAATGATGTAATTAAGCATAATATTATAGTGAAGACAAAAAATATTGAGTTTTTTTAACATATTTTCTCAGGTTAGTGAGACACCTAAACAACTTATAGCTATTAATAATGATGACATGAATGAAGACTTTAGAAGAAGTAAAAGATAGAGAAATGAAACCTCTTTGGAGATTATTTTTACACTTATCTAGTTGAAAATGATCCAACGAGTTTTTTAGAGGCTACTAGTACACCTGATGCAACATATTGGGATAAGGTCATTAGGACTGAAATTGACTCAATTAAAAAAAAGTAATACTTTAACTATAGTAGATTTGTCCTCATTGGTTGTAAGTGGATCTTTAAGAAAAAGTAT